TTTTTTTTTTTTTTTTTCCTCCTGCCAGAGTAGTTCTGGATGGAAAAACATAAGAGCTTTGAGAGCTGATTTGATAGAAGGACAGATGGCCAGAGTGAGTGCTACAAGTACAGCCTCTGTGTTTTGGAGGCAGCTACCTGATTAGATTAGCTCAAGTTATAGTATGCAGGTGCACCTTCTGTTATAATGAGAACAGGTATAACAGAAACAGTCATATTGCTGTGGAGCTTCTCACTGCTTGGTGACAGTGTATAATTTCACTCTTGCAGGTGGTGGCATGTCCTAATCTGCTGACTGCTTCTGAAGCAGATTAGGGAACGCTGTACTGAGCAGTTTCTGCAGAGTCGTGTGGACAGTTGTGTCTGCAGCTGATAAAACTTATTTTGCAGTGGGAACATCACCTTTACAGTCATGTCCTAGCTGTGCTTCTCCAGATGAAAGCAATTGGAGATCTCTATTTTATTCTGCATGCTGCCTAAGCAAGTTTTTTTCCTTTTTTCTTCTTTTTCTTTTTTTCTTTTGCCTCTAGAATCTCAGCTTCTGAAGCCCAAGGATAATTCTGACTTTTACAAATCTGTCTTGCATTTAAGTTTTTATTCATCATTTGGATGTTCCAGCTGCAGCAATTCTGGAGTTAGTAAGCATATGAGATGCATGTTTGTCTGATGTTCCCTCACTCTGAGCAATAGAAGTCACAGAAAGCTGCTGCATTTCATTTGCCAGGGCTGAAATTCCCTGTAGCTCACATGTGCTTTCTGCACATACGGCACCTACGGTTTGGATTTGGGGTTAGGAAATGACTTTCTGTTTGAAAGCTTGAGACGTTCAGAGATCGCCAGTGACGTCCTACTAGAAATGAGAATGCACTTCGTGCTTTTAGAAGGGTCAAATCTCTCAGGTTTTTCTTTTTGCTTTCTTATCAGTCAGCTTGAGGGTGGACATAGCATTAGTCTTGTCACAGCTGTAGTGTTCATATGCCATGAGCTGTGCTGGGATTTAGATGCAAGTGTGCAAAGTAGGGGGCATGGGACGCTGGAGTACAGCAGTCTGCACTGGTGGGTGGCTGCTTGAGTGAGAGCGTGCAAAAGAGTCCAGTTACTCCAGGGCACTTCCAGACCCTATAGTATTTTCTGGGAATGCCCCATCCACTCTGTTCTGCTCCTGGCAAATAATTAGTTTGTACTGGAACATTTGATACCACTTGCAGAATTGGTACAAATTGCAAGGGAGTTTTGTGCAAAAGAAGGGAAGTGCCTGGGTGAGGTCTCTACATTTTTGCCTCTATTGCCCATCTAAACATACTAGGAGTTGATGATGCATTCTGTATTTGTTGTGGTTTGATTTCTTGAAATCTAAGATTTCTTATCTCTTAAGACAGTGCAATTAATAACGCAGAGTTAATTGATTAAAGCTATGCAGTTATTCATTATGAACATATTTGCACCTTCACAACCCCTATTTCTTTAAACCCTATTTTAACCCCTATTTCTTGTGGCAGCAAGGACTGGGAGATATACCACTCCAAATGTTTTTTCCTTTGTCACAAAGTTACAAGTCTGATTTAGAACAAGTTTATTAGTGGGGAAAAAAAAAAAAAAAAAACAACTGAATTCCATACAGTTCCTATGAAGTAGATGAGTAGTAGAGAGGCACTGCTTGACAGCTGTGAGTCAGGAGCACTGTGATAGTAAGTGTTTGTACCTCCAAGAGAAGACAACAGGCTCAACGTGATGGAGAGGAAATGGAGATGACTGAGTCTATTTAAGTGGTGCTTATGCCCCTGTTCTTGTTGCAAACTGTTGGATACATGTTGACATGCTGCCTTACTGCCTTGTTGGAAGGATACTGCTGTCTCTCCATGCGTGTTTCAGCCAGGCCTGCTGCTAAAGAGATCCAGAAGCCCTTCTTGCCATTCTTATCCTTTGCTTGGCCACCTTCCTGCTCAGGTTTCAGGTTGTTGGTGTGAGGGCTCGTGTCATCAGAGAGAAACTGATGTAGGGAGAAGGGCGATTGCCATGCTGAGTATGAGTACTACTTTGGCCAAACCAGCAAATCCACTCTCAGATGCAAAGAATGGATTATTATTATTATTTTTTTCCCTTCCAGTGCTATTGCTCCATTATCTTCCCACAGATTTCTTAACTTGTCTAATGCACAGGATGGACCATGCCCTGGATAAATCAGATATCTGGTATGAAGGTGACTAGGATGTGTATCCTGTTTCAGATGTCAGAAGGTTGTGGTTGATGAGACATAGGACTGCAGGAAAAGCTGAGGGCAGTTAAATGCTGTCTTAACAAATGAGATTATTCCCACCCTTGCCATGGAGTTGATCTAAGGCTAGCACCTTACTAACACCCTGTGCAGATAATCGCGTAACTGAGCTGAATATCTGGAGTAAAACGGAGGCAGCTTAAGCTGATTGAAGGTTCATGGCACCGTTTCTTTTCATTGCAGAAAACTACCCATGTAATTTGTGTGGTTGTTTGTTTGTTTGTTTGTTTGTTTTTCAGGGTGCCTTGCTTGGGGTTAGTGAGCTGACTGAGGTTAAGGAAGATATCCACAAGTGCTGGGAGGAACTGAATCCTGGGAGTGGGAAGAGAAAGGAGCTAGACCTTCCTCTTTCAGGAACAATTAGCTCTGAAGCAATTGATGGCCATGTAGCAAAAGTACAACTTTATTATCCTAGTGGATCTGTTTGCCAGCTTCCCTAAGAGTGATGGTTCCATTTTCTGAGCCACTGTTGCTTTCCCTGCTCCGATGCTGATTTTGCTCAGACACTGGGGGCATCACACCAGGGGTCTGAAGCCAAGATCACCCATTTATTACCTCTGTGCAACTGCAGCTCCTCCTTCTTGCCTTGTTCCAGTACCACTGCTGCTGCCAGTGCAGGCAGCTCTGCTTTCAGCAGGCATTGCAGTATACACTGACAGTAGGCTCTGCTTAGGTTGATGTGTGCTGTGAGCTAGTCTTTCTCCCTGTGAAAGAAGCAGAAGGTATAGGTTCAGTTAAATCAGAACAGGGACTTTTCACGTTTGATGCCCAGGGCTACCAAATAGTGCTGATTGCATATCTTTGCATATTACTGTTTGTAAAAGGAGAGTAATAAACTCTTATGGCAAATACGAATACCTCTGTATTTATCTTCGTGAAGCGTTCTTATTATGATTATTGGCACGGGACCTCTAGATTTTTCATAGTAAACAAGTCTTTACTGTATATTAGTATGTCATGCCTTAAGTTTTGTCACTGCTGTGGGTTTTCCAGTTTACTGATTACTGTCCAGATGATGTGATGAGGTTGTATATTTTAAAAATAAACAAACAAACAAATAAATAAAAGCCCAGAAGCCAAGTATGTAATTCCCACAAGTTGGGAATTTGCAGTTGCCAAAGATAAAGTTGTATCTTCATATCTGTGTTAGAATGGCTTTGCCAACTCACAGCACGATTTTCTTAATATATTAAGCATTTGGAGATCAGAGTTAGCCCTCCAAATTTCATTAAAACAAAGACTGGCTGGCTAGCTATGATTTTTAAATGGGTGGAATGTGTATGTAAGGAATAATCCTCAGTGTTGGTGATACAGGTGTCTGTAACAATGGAACTAATTTTATCAGTGCAGATAGTCTTTCTACAATCCAAACACTTTTTCTTCTTTAATTCCTTAGCATAAGTTGTGCCATGCTGCAAATTAGCAAGTAACTTCCTAGGCTCAAGCAGGCAGTTTTCAGCCCTAAGGCAGCAAAGAGAAGCTGCTGAAAGGTTGGGGAAGGAAGGGAGTAATTTCTTAAGTTGACACTGCTGGTAAGCATCAGTATCTTGCAACTGCATCGTATGCTAGCCGTCTTCTTGGTAGCTCTTAAAATCATTAAAACACATAAAAAATTATTATACATCACAATCTCTAATGTGCTGATGTTAAGGTATCTTCTATTCACTCTGAGTCAGTGTGCCTGGAAAACAGTAGATAATTAACCTTGTATGCAAGGGTGGTGCCTTATAAATATTAGAGTTATTTACCAAGCACCATGTGTACACACAGATCTTGAGTCTTGCAAGCAGACACAGTCCCTGCCCAAAGACAATTAAGCAAAACTAAACCTGGAGCAAACAAGCCAGGTAGCTCTTGAATTTTTTTCACCCAAAATTTAGAGATTTAAGATTTGAATGTAACTGTTCCTCTATATAATTTTCTCTAACCAGTCCTGTATAGGAGAATGTATTCTTTCTTAAATAAAATTTTCAAATGCAAATAAAGGGAAATTGCTTAAGTGAAATGTGCCTGCAGCTGTCTGTAACTTGGTTTTTGGCTGAGTTGGCATTTGATTATTACTACTCTTACTTCAATGAGATGATGTGCGCGTTGCAAGCACTGGCAATTTCTCCAGGATCTGATTACTGTGGTGGGATGCTAGGCTTGCCCCCAGGCTGCAGAACTCCAAAATCTCCAGAACTGCTGCTTTCACAGGAAGGGAACAGGAGACCTTAGAGGACTGCTTAGCTGAATCTAAGTTGTTGCTGTTGGATTGGCACCAAAGGAGGGGCTTGAAGACACAAGTTGGACTTTGTGGTCACTCTTTAGGGTGGTAACAAATTCAGATCTGGATTGCCAAGCATCACTCGGAGGAGCAGTTCCATTTCACATGTTCAGGAGTTGTCTGGAGAAGCTATTGAGATGTCAAAGCTTCAGGTTTTTCAGGATGGGAAACTCATGCTGAGAAGCTCCAGAAAGACCTCATTGGCCTGGGCTTGTGGAAAAAATAGTAGCATATGATTTCCCCCTAGCATAGATAAGAACAAGTAAATTCCATGAGGTAAGAATTGGAATTGACAGTTGCATCTAGTCCTAGAGTTGAGAGTGATACAGTTGTGTTCTGTTGCTACTGTTGCTGTTCAAAGCTCTTGTGTACCCACATTTGGAGTCCTCAGTAGGAATTTGATTTGGGAATCTGCGGAAAGATGTATGGAGACAGCTGCCCTCCTTACTCTCAAGTGATCGAGGGGAGGTGTATCACCTCCCAGGAGACCAGAAAAGCTGGGACTTTGTTTTGGGGTGAAGCAAGAGGGCACCTGGTGAAACAGATAAGTTAAAGCAGATCTATTCCCCATATAGATGGGTGGATCTGGCTGTCAGAGGAGGCTGGAGGCAGAGAATATCTGTGGTTTCTCAAAAGGATTAGGCAAGTTCACAGACAGTGGATGTATGAACAGATTCAAAAGAGAACTAACAGGGGCTGTGTCCTCCAACACCAGTAATTGTGAGGAGGTGTTAAGTGAATGGCTCAGGAAAGTGGCAAGGCACCTGTGCTCCCCGAAGAGACACTGTGAACTGAAGGGAGTGGGGGCTGGAGCAAGTGATGAGTAGAAAAGCTATCTGTTCTGCTCCTACAACCATGCCCAGGCCCATTTCAGAGTGAAGGCCTGGCAGCAGTAGCAGGCTGGACTGCAGGACTTTCTCCTTGCCTGCTCCCTGCCAGGCAGTCTGGCTCTTCAGATAACGTGCCAGGAAGGACATGAGGGCTCACTGATACTCTGCTAAATTTAGATTCCTTGTGTTTTCTTGCACTGAAGTAGGGTGGGCTGCTGTTCAGCCAGCACACTTTGACTGGATCAGAAACTAGCTGATGTCAGGTTCTGTGAGCCTGTGTAAGATGGTGACAGCTGCAGCATTAGCCTGCATGATGGGTGCATTGGGACGTCTGACTCAGCATGTGGTGGAGTGCTCTCCTAACTCACTTTGTGTGGAACAAAGTTTCCTTCTGGAAAACTGACACCTCAGATACAGGTTAGGATTTATAGTTGCGTCAGGCTTCATATGTTTATCAAATTGCATTTTCAAACACTTGTAGGCACTGGATAAGCTGATAAAAATCCTCTAATAGTTTCAAACTTGGATGGCTTCTGCCACTATCCAGCTTGAAGTTGAAAGTTCTGTGGAGTTTTTTAAGGGCTTTCGTTTGTATTGTATTGTGGGTCTGTGTGAAACTGACCCACAATACAAACTGTATTGTGGGCTGCTGTCAAACTGGAGGTGCAGTGTAAGCCTTCTGTGAAAAATAGGTGCAGCCATTTTTAAAGATGTGAGGTGTAAGTTTGGAGGTTGCCTGCAGGCCTGTTGCCTGACACCTTGCCACTTACCTCTGCTGGCTTTGGCAGCCATAGGCACCCTCATGAGCAGATCTACTTCATCACCAACCCCAAAGTCAGGAGTTTGCTGCTGTATCAGTGTCACGAGTTTTACTTTGAAAACCCAGACAAGTGCAAGGCATAGAGGAGCAAGCTGTGGCTGGAGGCAGCAGTGAGCAGGAATTGCACCTCCCTCACCTTTCCAGTCCTTCTATGCTATGTCATCTACAGCTTTGTGCTCCTGAATGGCACCTCAATTTACAGTCTATAAAAACTTGCTTTTCTGGAGTAAAATCCGTATGAATAAGAATTTTATCCTTTGGTACATTTCTCAGTATAAGTGTTGGCAGGAGGCTGACTAACGCTTTATAAAATCCTAGTAAGTTATACCAGTCAGCACAGAGCCCATATGTTATTCTGTTCTGCAGTGTAATTTCAGGGCTCAGTAAAGCTGAGCACAGTATTGCTTCTAAATAGGATATTCTTATCAGTGTGCTCCTGCTGACAGTGATGTTTTGGTGTTGTGCATTGAGCTATGTCAGGGAGTAGATCTGACCAGAAGCCAGCCTGTGACAAAGAACAGTTGTTTTCAACTAGCAAGCTTCTTGGTCCCCTGCCCTAAAAACATCTGTAGGTCTTCATGAGCTGTAATGTGAGCACAGAATTGGTGCAGCATGCTTCCATCACTGTGATTCAGGAACAGGCTGCGCTTACTGCTGTGAAATTATAGAGACGAGTTAGAGGTGGCTCTTGTTGTTTCTGGCGCTCTTACATATTTCTCTTAGTAGATTCATTGCTGCAGAAGTGAAGACTGCTTGGGGGAGCCCTATTTTTTTTGATGTTTGTTTGGTTACAATGAATCTTTTCATTGGTAGAACTTACTCTAACTGATTAGCTGAACTGCAGAGTAGGAAAGCCAGACACTCAAATGCATGTGAAAATGTTGCCAAGTAGGCTCTTCAGAAAATGAGCACTTTCCAAAACCTTGAGTGGCGGGCCTGTGAAGGCAGAGTCTGGGAGTGGGAAAAAGCAGGGCTCTTGGGGCTCTTTTCAGTCATATGTAGGGGAGTTCTTCTTCCTTTCAGTGCCAGCAATACCAACCATTAATTTCCTTGCCCATTCTCTCCCTGTAGTGCCTATGTATCCTAATAAAACATCAGATCTTGAACTCCTCAGCTCTGCATAGGGTACTGCTTGCAGGAGCCCTAGCCTTACTTGCACAGCCACTCTGTATCGTAATATGGCCTCTGGGAAGTAGGCTGGTTGTTGTAAATGAATCTACCACGCGTGTTTAATTTGTGTAGCAAAATAACTTTCACCAGTGTATGGAGATTTGCAGTTTTGCTTACATTCTGCTTGTTTTCTTTCTCTTGCAGGATCTTGTTCCTTCTCAACCTTCAATTCAGTTTCAAGGACGCCAAGGGGTAAGTTTTTTGTACTAATGTTACATAGGAAAAGATACCCAGAGATTATGTACAATCTCGTAAAAGAGAGAAGTCATATGGACATTTTCATGATGCATTCAATGCCATGTGTTTCATTATGTATTTATTTAAGAGCATTATATATTTATTCAAAATATGGAGAAGAGCCATGTTTCTGTGTAATTTTTTTCCTGCTTTTATCAACTTCAAGCCTAAATCTGAAAGGAAAAATTATAAATTTGTAAGTTAGCAGCTAAGCAGTGTATGTCTAGGATTGTAAATCTGACTTGAAGTGATTGCTTTTAAGGTGTGGAGCAAAAGTATAGTTTTGGGGAATAGGCATGTTATTTCTTAGGCCATGTAGACTACTGATGATTTCTGAAGCTTTTTTGAAACTCTAATAAAATGAGATATTTCAAGCCTGTTGATGAAGAATTTAAGGGGAAAAAAAATAGGGAAATGTGGCCTTCTAAAGGAGGAGGCCTCCTATGGCCTTCTTAAATAATCAACAAGTGCAAACTGGAGAACTGAAGCTGAACATAAAATTAAATGCAGGTTGTAGTTAGTCTTAGGATTTTAGGTTTAATATTTGAACTTTAAGATGATGTTAGTTTTAATTCAGATCAGTTAACAGATCCAGTTTTCTGTATATGCATGCAGTGCTTCTGCGGAGAAAGCAAGGAAGAGATGAGAGAAGATCACAAGATCAAGTTGCCCAGGACCCCCATCCAACCTGTCCTTGAATTCCTCCAGGGATGGGACATCTACAGCATCTCTATGTTACCCAGTCTAAATCTAACTTCTTTCAGTTTAAAGCCATTATTCTTGTCCTATCACTACACTCCATGGCGAAGAGTTCCTTTACAGCTTTCTTGCAGGTTCCCTTTAGATACCTATTGGAAGGCTGCCTCAAGGTCTCTTCAGTACTTTCACTTCTCCACTTAACAACTTCACTTTGTAGGAGAGGTGCTTCAGCCCTGTGTTAATCCCTGTGGCCTTCTCTGGACTCAGTCTGACAGCTCCACATCTTTCTTGTGGTGGGATCCCTAGAGGCAAACTCAGCACTGCAGGCAGAGTCTTGGGAGAGTGGAGTAGAGGTGAACAATCAACTCGCTTTGTTTGGTGTCCATGCTGCTTTTGATGCAGCCCATGATATGATTGCCTTTCGAGGCTGCAAGCACGTTCTGCTGGCTCATGTCGAGCTTTTCATCAGTGAGTGCTTGCAAGCAGGGAGGCAGTCAGGAGAATTGCATCATCATCCCCTTTTGGCACCTGCCTGCATTTTTCCTCTGTTCCTTTGTATGACCATAAAGCCATCCTTCAGAGTGCATTTTGTTCTTTTTTACAAAACCTGGAAAAAGTTATGGTTTTGCTTAGTTCAAAATAAGCTATGGGATTATTAATAATTAACCTAAATATTGGCATGAAGGTCTGAAAGTTATGTACTGCAAAAGAAAAAAATTACTAGCACACTTGATCTACCTTGTATGCTCTTTCTCTGCAGAAGTTTATGTCCTTATTTATCCCACATTTTCAAGTAGCATTTTATAGGAGCAGTATGTAAGATTTCAGTTACGACCAGGCTGGAGGAGGCTTTGTTTCTCATCTCTAAATATCTTTTTTTTTTCATTGTCGTGCATTTGAACCCCTGTAATATCACTGTGTGATGCACAGATGTCCTAACAGCTGTGCTCAAAAATCTACTAGGTCAGTAGATTCCACAGAGTGCTGTGGAAGTCCAGGTTGGTACTGAACACAAGAGAGAATGCTGGATTTTCTTGATTATAAAACTCATCAGTGAATCCTGTTCCCATACTCCATGAGGTGGAAATATCTGATAGGGCTTCATTACTGCTGCAGAAGCAAAAATCTCCTATGGTACTTCTCAAGTCTATCCATAATTAGGTCAGTGCAAACCAAAGAACTTATTCCAGGACATTTCTAGGTCCTAATTGTCTAACACAGGGATAGTAGTTTAAGTTCATTAAGGTAGATGATGAGACTCCATTTTCTTTGTATTGCACCACCATGTTTTAGGTGTTTCCAGAACTCTTGGAGTTGCAGGCCAGGCTGCTGGGCTGCCATGAGAGACTTTTCCATCCTGGGGTATATGTTCTTGATGTCTGTGGAACCAGGCAGCTGCATAACTCTTGTATACAATGCTGAATTGCCTTTAAAAGAATCTGGGCTTTTAAGTATTTCAGCTCTAGTTACATGTTCTACTCATCTTCCTCCATGGGTAGGGCTCAAGTGGAGAAATGAAAGTAGTATGCTGACTTGAGTTGGTCTGGTGCCGTGTTGGATTAAGATGTTGAGAAGCTGAAGTTTGAGATAAGAGCCTTAGGTTAGAAGAGGCGAAGTAGGAACTTCTGTTTCATGCATATATTCTAAAAAGGACCTAAGTATGGTGCCAGAGTGTCTCTGTGGCTACTCTACCCAGTAAATAAATAAATAAAAACCGTCAAGCTTGGCTTTCCATTTGTTTTAGGACAAAGTTACCCTGAGAGCATCTGAAAAGCACTGGCTATGTGTTGACAGTCTCAGAAAGTACCATAGAAAAAACAGAGATGCAGTAAGATGGTCCACATTCAGAACGATAACAAAACATCTGTGTGTGCTGTGTTATTAGCCTCTAAACATCTTCGGTGTGATGATCACTGAAACAGTACCAGTACAGTTGGTGTCCAGCTAAGAACTCTGTCATTTCTGGCTTGTTAAGTAAGTTATTGTTTTAAGTTACTATATAAGTAAGCTGCTTGTTAAGCAAGTATTAAAATGACCACAAATCAGCCCCTAATGGAGAGAACTTTCCACTGGGAACATTGACTTCTAAAATACTGGACCGTGATGTGGTACCATCTAAAGAAGCTTGAGGGTGATGAGGAAAGACAAGATGTAGGTCATTTAGATGATAGAGATTAGCTTTTAAGAAATACTTTGTAATTAAACATCTTGGCTTATGTGTTCTCAGTCAATGTAGGAGCTGTGTTGCTCTAGATACAATAACTCTGAGGAATTACAGTGTTGCCAATGACTTTTCACTGTAATGCAGAGTGGGGATGAGTTTTAACAAACAGCTACAAGTAAAACAAGCTGCTGCTGTTAATCCAGTATACAGTCCGCATTAGCACTGAGTTCTAAATAGGCATGTTTTGCTTGTGTGGTTTCACTTTTGTGTTTTTTTTTTCTTTCTTTGCCATCTCTTGTATTGCACTCACTCCTCTTAGATAGAGATGTAATCTGTGGCAACTGCAACATATCCAAAGCTGACAGCTTGCCTAGTTTCTTGCTATGTCTAGTCTATGTGCCTTCAGCATGACTGGGCTTCAACTCTTATCTGCAGAGGGGTTGGCACAGTGGTGCTTTTCTTCCTCTCAGCTTACAAAACAGGTCATCTGATTTGGGAAAATGAGTAGTATGTAGTATGTAGTATGATCTAGCAGTTGATCTAGCTTATAAGTAGACCAACTACTTATAACTAGAATAAATGCTTCATCTGCCTTGCAGAGTGAAATTATTTCTTTAGAAATACTCTGTCCTATAACAATTTAAATGACTTTTGAGAAATTATGACTTCCTTGCCTAAAAATGTCTAATTATGTTTATTAATATGTCCATTTCTAGACTTAAGGATTTCATTTTTCTTTTGTCAAATGCTTTGTTATTTTATGTTCATTACTGCCACTCAGATGGTTTCCAAATGACTTAAGGGGAATATCCTTGCTCTGATATCAATTAAATCAAAACACCTACTTCTACATAAATGCTGAAGTGCTATTCAGCATTCTCGTCAAAGTAATTCAAAATCGACATTATTGATCTTAGGGACATGATCTCTGGGGGCTTGGTTCATGGGTGGAGGAGTGCTGGCTTTGCTGAACACCAGTAATGCACCCAAGGGTGGGTTTGGCTCTCCTGGGGAGGATAGAAACCACTTCTGTAAATTTACCAAGTGGTATCAGTTTTGGTTCAATTATCTATTACAATTTAAAATGAATCTTTTTTACTCTTTGTGTGTTGCAGGAATTATGGTTTATTCTTCGGCATAAAAATATTTTTCTAAAAGCAATATGAAATGCCCACTGTCTTACGTGTTTTTGCAATGCGTTGTGTCAGCTTGGTGGTATTCTTTCTTGTTTATTTTTGCTGTAACATAACCTCTGGCACTAGTCTGGGGATAGTAGTTACCTGCCATGGTCTCTGTCCCTACATAAATCTCTGGTCCTTCCTTGACAGTAATTACTTCTTGTGCAAATCCTGTTATCTCCCTCCATGCTGCTTGTCCACCTTGCCTGGACCAAGAAAACCCAAAACATTGCATTAGGAAGTACTTGTTACTGTGCTTCCCTGCAGAACTGGCTCCTCTTGTGCTGCTAGCCAGGAACGTTATCACTCTGGCAACAAATGTACAACTGTCAGAGTGGAGGAAGGGCTCTACTGCATCCTTGCCAACAGTACAGAAGGACAGGAGAGCTTAAGTGTGCCATTTCATTGTTGCAGCAGTGTGGCCCATATGTGGCTCCACATGTTGGAAAGGCTGTTTGCAGACCTCATTTGAGGAGAGTTGTTCAGCAGCAGATGGGTGTCACGCTCTGGTTTGGTGGCACTGAAAGGAGCACCATCCCTAGTGCCAAGGCCTGGAAAGATGAACTGATGATCCATAAAGTCAAACTTGAGGGAGCAAAGACTAGATTTTTAGAGGAAAAGCCAAAGCTTTGGGAAGGAAGCAGGGAGGGGGTGAAAGTAGAATTATTTTTTTTTTTTCCCTTTAGGTTATTTCATTTATCTACAGATCAATGTAATTAGTACAATGCATTTCGAGTGACTTTTTTTGTAGTAAGGCACTTAAATTTGTTTGCAAGGTAGCCATGTGTAATGATACTACTTCAGACAGGCTGAGGCATCCTAATTTCCCTTTAGAAAGCAGCACTGACCACTGACCTTCTGTAGTCTGGCTGTAATAAAGGAGGAGGATGAGGTTTGGTCCTTGAAGAAAACGG